GGACTTATATATACATATTGGGGGAGAAATTCCCACTAGTCTCATGTGCCTGTCAAACCTAGTGATGACCAGCCACCTCTCATCTACCATGATGATCCAAGGTACACTGTAGTACGCAAATATCCAAACGTATATGCAACAGTAGGCGCAATTAGCGAACTCGAGACGTGTTTAGAGAGAGTCAATATTGTCGGGAATCTGTTGTAATTATGAGCTTACGGTAGTCAATGAGCTGAAGCTCCTATTCAGCATTATACGCAGGACGTGATAACCTTGTGGTCTGATTGTTATGTATTGAAGACTATATGGATCTAATGGGGAGAAGAATTTTCCTATATATAAGATTTAGGTGTCTGTGCACTGAATATCACCCAACACAACTACCACTCTAATCTAATGTATTCCACATAGATCATACATTACAAAAGAATCTGAGACGAAACAGATAGTGGTTGAGTCCTAAATTCGATAGTCAGAATTTCCAACAGAAATTAAGGGTAGAATGATATTGAAAGCTGAATGAATGATAGGCTGATAAGCCTCTAAATAATGATTTAAGAACACATACGGTTCCTGGATGAAAGTAATGTCAATGTCCTCCTTGAGTGCAACCTCAAAAAGGGACTGCAAGATCTCTCGACCCCTTGCAGCATTGTGTTGGCCTATTTTGAGTGTACCTAACATGACAATGCTTTAAAGTAGTCGCAATCTTGTCTCTGGAAAGCCAAGTAGGTATTTGATTTACAGTTGGCACATTGAGCTGCATGATGTATGCAGCTCTGAGTGGCACTGCATTTAGTACACTGGTGGGATGTGGTGATATGTTTTCCAAGGCAGATAGCACATACTGGATCCTTGATACATCCTATTTGGTGGTGTCTATAGCTTAGACACTTCCGGCATTGGTGTGAGGGAACGAAAAAATGGCATTGAAGCGGAGTTGAGTTATTCCAAGTGGCGATTGTTTGTATTTGGCAGCTGGAACTGTCACGGTTCGAGTGTCAATGCGGGAGCAATCAGATATACGAAGGTAGTTTATTATTTTCTCTGTGCCTATCTATGTAAGCCCTACCTCAACTATTTATACACTTACTATACTATCTTGAATATTCTTCTCGTCTGTAACCAGTTTCTAGTATGTTCCCTTGAGGCTGGTTTGCAGTCTTACTACTAGTTACTAGAAATTTCTAGTGATGTCCCGCTTGGTCTATGAAAGAGTATTGAGTTTCGAAGATTTGTACAGCACGAGATTACTGCCATGTGACACTGAATAATTACCGGCTCACTAGCTGTTACAGGAACGCGCAATAAGATCAAGGTGTAGATCATTAGCAAAAGCGCTCGGACTCATGTTTCCCCTGTAAAGCAAGCTGTATATAGGTCCCCTTCACCTTGAACCTCTTTCTAGATCTGTAGTAAATCTTTTCATCATATGGTTTATGACCACGTTGATTCATCCCATGAAAATTGGGTCTTTTGAGTGAGTTGTTGAAAATTTGCTACCTTAAATTGAAGGCCTCCAATTAGGACTCCTGAATTGATCATACGTTCTTTTTCCGCCTCAGATGTGACCGAGAAGGCTATTGAGGCTCTCAACCTCTGTTGGTAGGTTCTACTTAGCTATCTAAGCTGGCCATAGGTTTTTATTCCCTCATTAAATATCTCAATCTCTTCATTAATGGCATTAATTGGGATTGAGGTAGGTACACCATGAACCACTAGCTTTGGACAATGGCTCACTTTTTGAACTTTATTAATGGGCCATCCTGCAAATACAGTCTCTCATCTTTCTTGGTCCAATAAAAGCTCACTTGGTGGCTATCACAGTTTCGAGGGACAAGTGCTGGGGCAACTATGTGGTCGATGGTAGTAAATAATAATTCTAAAGAGAGAACTTCCACTACATCTATCTATTCATTTATATACGTGAAAGCCTCCTCGCCACCGAGGCTAATCCCTCTCCTGTTCCTATGCTGTGGGGCTCCCCTAGTGTTCTGACTATGCCTGTAATACAGCACTATTGCGTTATGGTCCGGAAGGATTGTACTCGGTCTCGTATATTCCCAGTCAGTGTAAGCCTATCAACATGTGGTGCAGTGCCGTACTGCCGTGCCGCACTGCCGAGTCCGATGCTATGTGAATACCATGCAAATGCCGACGCAAAAGTATTGTATTGGGTGGCGTTGCATATTAGCGCATTGGTAGTCATTAACAACGCTATTCGAATCAGGCCCAAGTTAACCAATGTAGGCTACAGGGACCAATTGGCTTACCAGCCGTTACAGTGGTGAGTCCATGCAAGTTAAAACTAGATTGCCTTTCACAGAGGTATGTACTCTTGATATGGCCCTCTTCCCCAGGAAATTTGTTGATGCTCTCTCTGATAGAGAAGGCACTGTAAGTAGGTAATTCCTCCCCCTGCTATGTCACTAATGTGACCACATTCTCACTTGGTAGTGGTGCTGGAGATTGAATATTCATTAGTTTTGGGATTGAATCTTGACTGATGAATTCTGTCTGACAAACAACAGGAGCTACTGGGTTTGTCAACCTATTTAAAACTCTCATTCCACTTACAGGTTGCTCTGCAGAAGTGGTTGGTGCAAGTTTTACATTCTTCCTCAGTATTTGAGAATATGAGGGAATATTTGGTTCTGGTACTATTGGCACCTCTTTTGATGTTAATGTGTGACGGCTGTCAAGCCTAAGGGTTCCTGTAGCCCACGCTGTCTAGCGCAGGCAATTATACGAAGGGAGGTTCCTGGGAAGATCTTGGATGACAGGGAACCTAGATGATTCACATTGAGCCTTGTTGAAACCTACTGAGAGTTCTAAGGGTTACAGAAGTATCAAGGATCTACAGGCGATTGTCGGAGAGTCTGAGTTGACAGGTCATAGAGAGAACCTTATCGAGGAGGGGTATTTCAGTCTGTATATATAGGTAGTCATTAAGTACAGAAATCCTCTCTTCAGAGAATTATAATTAAACTATTGTACATACAACATTGCTCATGCAATTTGTAATGAAACCGTGACATAATGGCTCAATTGGTGAAGTCACGATTTTTGGCATAGAATTTGGTCGAGCTCTACCATCCTCTATGTAATTTCGAAATATTTCAACAAAATCTAGAACAGCATCTTGCTTTCCTTTATTTTCTGTCAAGCTGTATGCTTTGACCAGTAAATTTCGAGCCTTTTGAATAGCAGTTAGAAAGGTATGTTGCATATTTATTTTTGGCTCTTCAATTTGAATAATTTTCCTGGAAATAATAAGAGGTTGAACAGATTCAGGTGATTTCCTTTTCCTTAACTTCATCTGTTGCAATTTTTCCTCTGTAACTTTTGGCTCCAGATCCTGTGCAGTGATAGAGTCACTGCTGAATGGGTCATCTTGAGGGCCTTTGGTAAAATTAGTTTTGGTTGAATTTGGCAAATTACTTTTGATGATCTTTTTTGAGCTCCATATTGAGTCTGAAAGTCTTGCCACATTTTCAAAATTAAATGATTTTTGGGTGGGTGGGAAAGAGGGAAGATCTAAAGTTAAGGTAGAAGAGTCTAGATTCATCATAGATCTTGATTATTTTATATTTTTTTATCTTTGATTTTTTAATTGCTGATTTTTTATAACAAGGAGAATACTTTTTATATAATTTCTTTTTTAAAAAAAATAGAAGTGAAGTTAGATTTAATTAAAAAACATGTGACCTTATGTGAGATCACCTTATCACGCGTCAGGAACGCGTCGCACATCGAGCCTTGGCAAGGCTGGCGGGAAATCTTTTGTCCAAAGGGTCGAAAGTTTATTTTTGGTCGAGAAATGTTGAAAAAGGTGGGTCTGTATGTTGAAAAATATATCAATCGAGAGCTAATGATAATACAAAACTGAATATCAAAATTTGAAAGGCGTAACTGATAGTGGGCGAAAGTTGTGGTCGAAAAGGTGATTTCCAACAGTTTGGTGACGTGAAAACAAGCACTGTGTTCAGCCTTCGTCCTCGGAAATGAGAGTATCCCGTAAATTGTGATATTTGCCATTGTCCACAAATTTTATCCACGCACGTCTACCTATCTTTTCGTAATCTGGAGAGGAGGGAGAAAATTATGGATAGATGAGCTATCTGATTAAATGAGGACTAGTGAGGCCTGGCAATTTCTAAAAGAAGCTGCGTGGGAGGCATCATTGGAGATGTAGCACTCGCACTTTTGTACTTGACCTGTTGGCAGAGATGATATACTTGGTTTAACAAGTCAAAGACTGAGAATAGACAAGAATCAAAAATTAGATTAGACTGTACATCGTTCATACAGGTATTATCCTATTTGAGATTTTATTATGTTTCAGTGAGTCTTCCGCCATACATATTTACATATTTGACCAACAGTCAAGATCTAGGCAACTCCTAACAAGACCGTGGAGTGAGTCAATCTAATTGGCACAGAATGAGAGAAGTTATTGACAGATCGAAAACTGCCACAAGAACAAAGAGCGCTATTGACTGACAATGGTCAAATGGTGAGCTTTTGTTTCTATCCCATTGCGGAAATATTCTTTGTGTCAATAGGACTTTAGCATTAGGGCTAGGAACTGGACATGGAGTTCAATGAATTGTATATTACACTTCTATTCAGATTGTTTAGAATCTCCATAAATACTGAGCTCAATGGCTATTTATAACGGGCAATATATCAATGGTATTATAAGTAAAAAAGAGGCTAGGAGCACTGTATAAGGTGTGGCTTGGGTCAGAGAGTAGCCCAATGTACTAAATAGTCTATGACTAATTAAAATAAACACACCTATAAATCTCATTTCCTTAAGAATCTCCCTAGATTAAATGGAACGTACAGGCTAGTCAGTCATTAATGTTTGACAAGCCTAATGGCCTGAGGTCACAACATCTAACAAAAGTGGAATCAATTCTTGCGAGTTTCCATGGGCAGGACCTAAATTAATGCGGATGACTGCAGAATTCTTGTGCCTGTTAATTCCAATTTTCTTAAGTACACAGTTTCCAACCTTCGGTAGACATTTGAGATACTTGGTATTTTGGAGGTTCCCCATAAACTTGTACTAGGTAAGAAGATACACCTGGTTCCAGAAGGAACGGTTATTAAGACAAGTGTTGAAGGAATAGGAAAACTGACCATATGGGTTCAAACTTCTCATGGAAAAATATGTCTTGTGTGGTTCCAGTGTGGGAATAGCCGGGTGTTCATGACTATTAGGTATCGTAAATCTCTCAGTTTCCATTGCAAAAACCTGTGATTCCAATAAGGGATCGCCAGATTCACATTTATATTCTCGGTTTCCATAAGCGGTTGGTACCAGTAGTGAAATACAGGCCAACGCTCCAGTTGTAGCAGTGCTGATAAACTTCATTCTGGAATGTGGTTCTGCGGAATCGAATTGTAAACTCTGATTACCAAGCCGTCGGATATGAAGTTCAAGGCTACGTAGGGATAAGAAAATAGTTGGAATGGTTCCTGCTTAGTGGCTCGTTTTCGTTGTTCTTCTGCAAGCCTTGCGCTGGCAAGATCCAAAAAAGTGTCAGTCAAAATTGTTGATAGTGTGTCTTGTCTGGACCAAGGCCCTAACATATTTATATTTCTGCCGAGATTTGCTTTCAGCTTTTCTGTATCTGTATTTGGATTACCTGAAGCGGCATCGAGTGGGGTCTGTTCCATGGCGTATGGCACCAGAGGACTAAATGAGCCAAGCTCTGACCTAAAACTCCTTCATTACTGATTGTTTAACTCAAGGAATCTTAATTTAACTGTGAGATGAAGAGGCAATTATATTCAGCAAATGGACATACGAGGATGAGTCTCTTGTCTTCAATACCTCATCCGACGAAAATTCATGCTGGTATGTTCTGTTGACTCATTCTGATGGGAGATATTTCCCAACTTGATAGAGGCTAGGACGAAATGATGAAATTGGAGAGCGTGGAGCTCATCACCATTATGCTTCATTCATTACGTTACATTACCAGAATTGCCCTTGGTACTGAAATTACTATAACTTTGTAAACCACATATTCTATTTTCAACAAGCTAATTTGCGAAGTTTGGCCCCACCTTGACTATTGTGTATCAAATATGTCTAGCAGCCTTCTATTGTCAGGAAAAGCTGCTTATTCAGCAAGTTAGTCAAGTGCAAGGTGTCCATGTGACAGCTGTCAACCCGTAAAACTCCTGTAGCTTTTGCTGGCTAGCGTAGGCAATGACACAAGGGGAATCTTTGTGAAAGATCTTGGAAGCCATGGAGCCAAGAATTTATTCGGTGTCGTGGTTTCATTACAAAATTCATGGGCGATCTTGTAGGTACAATATTTTTATTATAATTCTCTGAAGAGAGAATTTCTGTCCTTCACTACCTATTATACAGTCTGAAATATCTCCCTTTGAGAAGGTTCTCTCCATGACATGACAACCTAGACTCTTCAATAATTATCTGGAAGCTTCTCAATACTCCTGTAACCTTTATGAACTTTCAGGATGTTCCAATGAGGTTCAATGTGAACCATTTAAGTTCCCTGTCATCCAAGATCTTCCCAGTAAGCTCTCTTTGTATAATTGCCTGCGCAAGACAGCGTAGGCTACAGGAACCCTTAGGCTAGAGCCTAGCTCAACTCAGGCTTAAGCCTAAGATATCTGAATATTGAAGGGTTAATATGAGATAGGGCTCAAGGATGATGGAAGACCCAAACGTCCTGCATCATAATGGTTGAGTGGTCAGATGGTTAAGTGGTGATAAGGCTAGCTCGAGCAGATTGTAGAGAAGCCGAGCAACTAGGCACCTGGGCAAGAGATATCCCCCACTTTCTGTTATTCATATTGTTCACTTTACTTTCATAACTCGAAACCTTGGCATAAAGACAGATCATTCATCAAGCGGGTTCCCCCAGTTAATTTCCTCTCCAGTTTAAGATTCTCTTTTGTACCTAGATCTAGATAGTTTTTCAATAACATCTCTCTTACGACCCTTATACTATTAACCACACACGCTAGCCATTAGCGGTTAGGTATCGCCGGGCAATTTGGGATAGCGCTCAGAGGTATATGCAGACCTCGCGTGCTACCGGAACTATACAACTGCTTCCGCTCCTGAGTGATGGACTAAGGACTGCGGAGCTGAGAAATTGTATGGGAATGATTGGGGCGACGCTATGGTATGTATATAAACCACAGGCACGAACCATGGACAGGATTGTTGTCATTCCTGAACAGCTAGGTTCAGGATCACTCAGCTGGGATATTACACCTAGGGGATGGAGGCATTGCAGCGACGCGTATTCGGACCGCGCGCGCCAGCTGTCATAGTCTAAGCATAGGCACTTGGGTAACCCTATGATCAGAGGTAGTTTATTTTCAATCTATGGTGAATTACAGATTGAAGAAGATAATAACAGCTATATTATACATAATTATTATCCCTGCCAATGGCACAGCTTCCTATATGTATACCCATATACCCGTACATCCATATATTCGTTCTCGTATTCCACCCTTGAGTCTCATTCTCGTAAGTTTCACAATGTTGATATTGCCACTGATAAGCCCACGCTTCCGAAAATAGGCTTCACATTGTTTGACGCTAAGTCTGCAAAAGACAGCGCAGACTACAGATCATTTCCGGCTTACCAGCCGTCACATACCGCGGGAGTTGAAGCTATTGATGAAACAGAACAGACTGAAGATGCAAACAACTGGCTTACATGTTGTTAGACTCTACGAGTCAATTGAAAAATGTATGAAGTAAAAGTAAAAAAGTGTCAATTAATTCCTGGCTGCCATTTCTCTTACTGATACTATCTAGATTATGTACGTCTAGAAAATGGCAAATGCTCTATGTGTCCCCAACTTGTCCCCATAGACCAAGCTTCTCATGGTTTGGAACGAAACATCTCCAGTCAGAACAGATAGAGTTCTTATTACTACAGCCCAAGCGAAACACCTTTTTTCGAAACAAGTAACTCCAAGCTTTGTAAACCTAACTCCTTAAACTTTATATCTGACATTAATCGCCTTCAAACTATCCACAGTTTGATACATGTATCCATCTTTTTTGGATGCTGCATCAAGCATTACAGGTGAATGTGTTGTGTATGGTTAATTCCAAAGATGTGGAGGGAGTAATCTTGTGTTTGACTTTGAGGGACTTTCATCTGTGGGTGGGATCGAAGTACTATGTGTTGTGATCTAACGCTGTTCAATCTGCGGACTTTGTTGTGAGCAGTTATTACATCTTACATGATGGAAGACGGGAGCGAAGTAAAAGAGGGGACAGCCCACTAGCCAAATCTAAGCGATTACGGGCACACGTTGAACTGTAACAAATTCTCTGTAGATAGACACAACAAATAATTATCATCAATAATTGAATCAACCTCCACACAATTGAGACCCATAAAAGTGCCAAAATTTCATACAACCCTCTACTGTATTGTCGCAGTCGCATCTGTAACAAGCCACCACTGCATTCCAGAATACAATCTCTAACTGTGATAAGCTACACCACCAGGTCTAGCAAACAAATTACAATACTATGAAATTCTGGTAAATCTTCGTTCATTGTGAAAGGTGGTCAACAATCTGTAATGCTATAGAAGGAAACTTCGCTAGGTGTTGCATAAGTCAGAGTATCTGATGAATAAGATACTCTATAGCTCATATAATTTGGACGCTTAGTAATGTCAGATGGGAGCGTGGGAATTTGAACTGAAGCAGAATTGGAGGGCGAGAAGAGGTCGGATGGATCGCAAAGGATGACTAGAGGTCTACATGAGATAATTTGGAGAGCTAAAGATTTAAAAGATGGGTCATATAAAAGTCTAAAGGTATGAGCAAATACTAGAAGTGTCCAAAGATGTTCGAAGGTGGTGGTTAAGACAGAAAACTAAGCGCGAAGTATTTCATAGCCGCGGACCAAGCCACCATACATATACTTGCTTTCCTTCTCTTAGCTCATCATAACATAGGCCCTCAACTAGTACCAACATATAACAAGTGCCAAGCACTGTTCTGCTGTCATAGCAACATAGAAAGAATGGTAAAATTATGAAGTGAAGTAAGGATAAGAAGAGGAATCCTTACATGTTGGAATATGGACGCAATGCCAAGGCAACAATTGCACTCAATTCTACTATTGCAGTGAGCTCGAACAGGGTACCAATGCGTTCTATATAAACCGACAATATGCTCGCACCAACAATATCCCTCTGTCACGGTATCAGTACAAAATACATGGGCAATCTCGTAGGTACAGTAAATTAATTATAATTCTCTGGAGAGAATTACTACAGCTAGACTACAAATATTTTTATTCATTCTGAGATATTCCTCTGCTATAAAGTTCCCCTTATGACTAGAATAATATGGGCTGTTGTACAATTTCCTAGGAGATTCTTGAAACACCTTTCGTCCTCATGAACCCTCAGTGTGCTTCCAGAAGGCTCATTGAGAAATCTCTAAGCCCCTTGTATTCCAAGATCCTTCCTGAAGATTCCCTTGCTTTCATTGCCTATGCTAGCTAGCGTAGGCTACAGGAATCCTTAGTCTTAGCATCTGTTAAGCCCTCAAATCAACAATTGTCCTCGCTACAATGAGCATCTACAAATCTCACGTTCCGGCTGCTTTAACGCTCGGCTTTTGGCCCCAAAAGAGATAAAAAGTGCTTTGTAAGTGGTAAATGAGGATGTTGGTCAAAATGACACTTGCAAGAGGAACACCAAACATCTCAACAATGTTTCAGTTCGTACGCTCAGCCTCAGAGTAATACTCATGATGACTACAAAATACTTCTTTCAGAGTTTGAAGGAATAGACCTGAATGATAGTACTGAAGTTGAAGATAATGACATAAACAATTGTGATGCATTCTTCTCTGGGAACATAATATCAAATACACAGTTCCTTACCGCTATCTATGACTTTATTGATGGACAAATTGTGACAAGGAATCTCAATAATGCCGCAACAAAACACGCTTTTACAGGTATAGATTCAAATTATGCAGATGCAGAGCCTTGAGAAATGCCTCAGCTCTTCGCGTTTAACAGTAGAAGTGTTGAGCAGAACTTCCTTTGTTTTGGTTTGTAAGGATTCCCTGTTTCATTCTTAATTTAGGATTTATTTTTCGTCTTCTTCCAAGCGGCTATGACAATACCACAGCTCTTGGCACTGGGTAATCTATTATTATTAGGATAAGACTTATGTCATGATGGAACAATGGAAAGAAATCATGTAAATAAATAAGGGCTTGGTCTACTGAAGCTGAGCTCTTCACGCTTAGCCTTTTGTCATAACCTATACCTTTAGATCATCTCTAGCAGCCTCTAGTTTTTCAGATACCATAAGTTCCCTTCAGCCAAGCCATTAG